TCAGGAACCCTCTGCAGGTGATCTGGATTCATCAGCTGATTCCATTTACACTCATTTCTATCCCTATTAGCTGCAACTTGTACAGCTACTCTTGCTGGAGTCAATGTAATTCTGTACACAATAATATACTCAAAACAATACTATCAAAAAAACAAAACATCCCACTTCTACCCCCCCCCCCCCCCGCCCCCCACACACACACACACACACACACACCACTGCACCACTCTCATTTTTTAGAGTTTCACCTGTAAATAGTTTAATCTTGTCTTGTAAATGTTTATATTTGGTTTCTTTTGATCATTTATTTCATTTTAAAATCTCTTTTGTAGTAGTCCTCTCCCTGGGCTGCCACCTTACAGTGGTGGAGGGGTTTGAGTGTCTCAATGATCATAGGAGCTAAGTTGTCTGAGGCTTTCTGCCTCTGGTAGGGTCACCCATGACAAACAGGACCTAGGTGAGGGATCAGACAAAGAGCAGCCCGAAGACCTCTTATGATGAATTATATAAATGGAAACCATGTTCCCTCGCTCGGACGTGGGTCACCGGGGTCCCCCAATGGAGCCAGGCCTAGAGGTGGGGCACGTTGGCGAGCACCTGGTGGTCGGACTTTCACCCATGGAGCCCGGCCGGGCACAGCCCGAAGAACAAATGTGGATCCCCCTTCCCATAGGCTCACCACTCATGGGAGGGGCCAAAGGGGTCGGGTGCAGTGTGTGACGGGTAGTAGTTGAGGGCGGGGACCTTGGCAGTCTGATCCTCGGCTACAGAAGCTGGCTCTTGGCACATGGAGTGTCACCTCTCTGGTGGGGAAAGAGCTTGAGGTGGTGTGTGCGTTTGAGAGGTTCCAACTAGATTTAGTCGGTCTCACCTCAACGCATGGCTCTGGCTCTGGAACCAGTTTCCTTGAGAGGGGTTGGACTTTCTACCACTCTGGAGTTGCTCCCACTGAGAGGCGCCGAGCAGGGGTGGGCATACTAGTTGTCTCCCATCTTGGTGCTTGTACGTTGGGGTTTACCTCAGTGAATGGGAGGGTAGCCTCCTTCCACTTACATGTGGGGGGACGGGTTCTGACTGTGGTCTGTGCTTATGCACCAAACTACAGTTCAGACTACCCACCCTTTTTGAAGACCTTGGAGGGGGTGCTGGAAAGCGCTCCTTCCAGTGACTCCCTCGTTCTGCTGGGGGACTTTAACGCTCACATGGGCAACGACAGTGAGACCTGGAGAGGTGTGGTTGGGAGGAACAGCCCCCCTGATCTGAATTCGAGTGGTGTTTTGTTATTGGACTTCTGTGCCAGTCATGGATTGTCCATAATGAACACCACGTTCAGACATAAAGGAGTCCATATGTGCTCTTGGCACCAGGACACCTTAGGCCGCAGCTGGATGATCGACTTTGTTGTTGTTTCATCTGAACTGCGGCCGCATGTCTTGGAGACGGGTGAAGAGAGGGGCGGAGCTGTCAACTGACCACTACCTGGTGGTGAGTTGGCTCAGATGGTGGGGGAGGATGCTGGTCAGACCAGGCAGGCCCAAACGTATTGCAAGGGTCTGCTGGGAACGTCTGGCAGAGTCTCCTGTCAGAAGGAGCTTCAATTCCCACTTCCGACAGAACTTCCAAAATGTTCTGGGGGAGGCGGGGGGCATTGAGTCTGAATGGACCCTGTTCTGTGCCTCCTTTGTTGAGGCGGCCGACCGGAGCTGTGGTCGCAAGATCGTCGGTGCCTGTCATGGTGGCAACCCCCAAACCCGCTGGTGGACACCGGCGGTTAGGGATGCTGTCAAGCTGATGAAAGAGTCCTATCAGGTCTTTTTGGCCTGTGGGACTCCAAAGGCAGCTGACGGTTACTGGCAGTCCAATCGGAATGCTGCTCGAGTGGCCGCGGAGGCAAAAACCCAGGCATGGGAGGAGTTCGGTGAGGCCATGGTGCAAGACTTCCGTACAGCTTTGAGGAGATTCTGATCCACCATCCGGCGCCTCGGGGGTGGGGGTGGTGATGGTGGTGGTGGTGGTGGGGGGGGGGGGGGGGGGGGTGGAGAGCAGTGCGCTACCAAAACTATCTATAGTGGGGACGGTGTGCTGCTGACCTCTACTCAGAACATTGTGGATCGGTGGGCAGAATACTTCGAAGACCTCCTCAATCCCACTGACACGTCTTCCAGTGAGGAAGCAGAGTCTGGGGGCTTTGGGTTGGCCTCTCAAATCTCTGGTGCTGAGGTCACTGAGGTGGTTACAAAGCTCCTCTGTGGCAAGGCTCCAGGGGTGGATGTGATCCGTTCGGAGTTCCTTAAGGCTCTGGATGTTGTGGGGCTGTGTTGGCTGATGCTGCTCTGCAATATTGTGTGGACTTCGGGGGCAGTCCCACTGGACTGGCAGACTGGGGTGGTCCCCTTATTTAAAAAGGGGGACCGCAGGGTGTGTTCCAACTACAGGGGGATCACACTCCTTAGCCTTCCTGGTAAGGTCTATTCAGGGGTTCTGGAGAGGAGGGTCCGTCGGATTGTTAAACCTCAGATTCAGGAGGAGTAATGTGGTTTTCGTCCTGAACGTGGAACACTGGACCAGCTCTGTACCCTTAGGGGGATCCTGGAGGGTGCGTGGGAATTTGTCCAACCAGTCTACATGTGTTTTGTGGATTTGGAGAAGGCATTTGACCGCATCCCTGTGGGGGGTACTCTGGGAGTATGGGGTACCATGCCCTCTGATACGGGCTGTTAGGTCCCTGTATGACCAGTGTCAGAGCTTGGTCTGCATTGCCGGCAGTAAGTTGGGCTCGTTCCCAGTGAGAGTTGGACTCCGCCAAGGTTGCACTTTGTCACCAATTCTGTTCATAACCTTTATGGACAGGATTTCTAGGCGCAGCTAAGGTGTGGAGGGCATCCGTTTTGGTGGCCTGAGGATCAGGTCCCTCCTTTTTGCAGACGATGTGGTCCTGTTGGCTTCATCAGAACGTGATCTTCAGCTTTCGCTGGACCGGTTCGCAGCCGAGTGTGAAGCAGCTGGGATGAGAATCAGCTCCTCTAAATCTGAGACCATGGTCTTGATTCGGAAAAGGGTAGAATGCCTTCTCCGGGTCAGGGATGAGGTCCTGCCCCAAGTGGAGGACTTTAAGTATCTCTGGGTCTTGTTCATGAGTGAGGGAAAACTGAAATCGATAGGCGGATTGGTGCTGCATCTGCAGTGATGCGGTTGTTATACCGGTCTGTCGTGGTGAAGAGAGAGCTGAGTCAGAAGGCGAAGCTCTCGATTTACCGGTCGATCTACGTTCCTACCCTCACCTATGGTCATGAGCTTTGGGTAGTGACCGAAAGAACGAGATCGCGGATACAAGCGGCCAAAATGAGTTTTCTCCAAAGATTGGCTGGGCTTTCGCTTAGAAATAGGGTGAGAAGCTCGTTCATTCAGTAGGGGCTTGGAGTAGACCCGCTGCTCCTCCACATCGAGAGGAGCCAGTTGAGGTGGCTCGGGCATCTGGTCAGGATGCCTCCTGAACGCCTCCCTATTGAGGTTTTCCGGGCACGTCCAACCGGGAAGAGACCTAATGGGGTGTTGAGAGCCCACCTGGAGTGGGTACTGCATGCCTTTGTTATTTCTAGGCTTGATTACTGCAACTCTCTTTATTCAGGGTTGTGTCAGTCATCACTGCGTCGCCTACAGGTTGTGCAGAACAGCGCAGCAAGGTCCCTGACTGGGACCAGGAAACGGGACCACATCAGTCCGGTTCTGGCCTCCCTGCACTGGCTTCTGGTTTGCTATCGTGCACAATTCTAAATCCTTGCCTTTGTTTACAATTTCTTCCAGGGTGGTGCTCCCCCCTATCTAGCCACACTCCTGAACAAACATTCCCCATCACGCGCTCTGCGCTCCTCTGAACAAGGCCTGCTCGCTGTCCCTCGTTCTAGGTGTCGTACTCGTGGGGACCGGGCTTTCTCAGTCCTAGCACCGTCTCTCTGGAACCAGTTGCCACCCTCAGTTAGGCTGTCCCCATCTCTGCCAGCCTTTAAGAGTCGCCTAAAAACACACCTTCTCCGCTTGGCGTTTCCTGAACATGTTTGATTCGGCCCTCTTTTACGTTGAATTTCTTTCACAGTTTTCATTGGTTCACTCTATTCCTTGTTTTACCCATCTGTCCTGTACTAGAATGTTTCACCTTTTTTTGTAATTTTTATTTTATAATTTGAATTGCTCTTATTTCTGAATTGCTTTTATTTTTTATTTATTCACTATATTTGTACTTCTACTGTACCATGTTCAGCGCCTTGGGCTTCCTGACAGGGTTGCGGAAGGCGCTTTATAAATAAAGCTTTGATTGATTGATTGATTGATTGATTGATTCATTGATTAATGGTAGACCCAGGACACGGTGGAGGGACTATGTCTCTCACCTGGCCAGGGAATGCCTTGGGATTCCCCCGGAGGAGTTGGCCCAAATGGCTGGGGAGAGGGAAGTCTGGGCCTCTTGCCTTAGGCTACTGCCCCTGTGACCCGACTCCGGATGAGCAGATGAAAATGGATGGATGGATGGATGGATGGAGTTTCAAAGATAATGCCATTATTTGAGCTCATATTCATTAACCGTACCAGCTCAGTGGCCTAGTGAGTGTCTGCCTTGAAACTGGGACATCATGGGTTCAAATCGATGGTGGGGTCATGCCAAAGACCTTAAAAATGGGCACTAACACTGAGCATTAAGGGGTTGGACTGATGGTTAAAGCACCGAACAGTTCCCAAGCGTGGTCATGTCCGCAGCTCGCTGCTCCCCCAGGGGGTGGATCAAATGCAGAGAACAGATGTCACACACCAGTGTGACAACTGATGGGATTTTAACTTAAATCTCTTATTGTTAACAAGGGTCATTCTGTCTTGCTATTGTTTACATGTCAGCTTGTACAAACATTTCTGAGTTCTTTTGCAATTATCTTTATCATATTGTATTTTTCTCATGAGTTTTATTCTTTGCTGAACACAATCACTGTAATTGTATATTTGTCTTGCAGCTCCAGGGTAATACTGCATAAAAGTAGAAGATGAGCAAATTTCCCACGCCAAAGGGGACCTCAGTGCCGCAGAGCCCCAGCGATGGGGTCCCAGAGGGGGTCCAAGAGGGTCTTCCGTCCCCTCAGCACTCCACCCCTGGCTCCGAAGCCCAACATAAGAAACGCATCTCCAGTCTCCTTCAGAGTCCAGTGAGATGAATAATTTTCTAAACGTCTTCTGCACTTTGTTCTCTGTAGTTGTGTTACATCCTTTCATTGGAATTAATCAGTTCATAAATGCCTGTTGGGATGAAACTGAAACAAGATGCCACTTAGAGCTCTTGTTCTCATGTTACCGGAAGCTGATAAAAGGTGACCATCAAGTAAAACAACCTCAGGCTGACTTATTAAATATCTGCTAAAAGCATTAGATAATAACAGAATATGTTCCTAATTCTATCACTTTATTTTATTTTGATCACATTTGACAGTTCAGCATCCAGCCCTGATATCTGTGATTAGATGCTGAGATGTTGCATGATTGCTGTGTTTGTGTGCAGTCTTTCAGAGAGGAGCTAGATGTGCTGATCCAGGAACAGATGAAAAAGGGAGGCAGTTCATCTAACTTATGGGCACTGAGGCAGCTAGCTGATTTCATGGCTTCTCATGGATCTCCAGCAGCTCTGCCGGTTTCACCTTCCAGTATGTTACTCTATCTATCTATCTATCTATCTATCTATCTATCTATCTATCTATCTATCTATCTATCTATCTATCTATCTATCTATCTATCTATCTATCTATCTATCTATCTATCTGTCTGTCTGTCTGTCTGTCTGTCTGTCTGTCTGTCTGTCTGTCTGTCTGTCTGTCTGTCTGTCTGTCTGTCTGTCTGTCTGTCTGTCTGTCTGTCTGTCTGTCTGTCTGTCTGTCTGTCTGTCTGTCTGTCTGTCTGTCTGTCTGTCTCTCTCTCTCTCTCTCTCTCTCTCTCTCTCTCTCTCTCTCTCTCTCTCTCTCTCTCTCTCTCTCTCTCTCTCTCTCTCTCTCTCTCTCTCTCTCTCTATCTATCTATCTATCTATCTATCTATCTATCTATCTATCTATCTATCTATCTATCTATCTATCTATCTATCCATCCATCCATCCATCCATCCATCCATCCATCCATCCATCCATCCATCCATCCATCCATCCATCCATCCATCCATCCATCCATCCATCCATCCATCCATCCATCCATCCATCCATCCATCCATCCATCCATCCATCCATCCATCCATCCATCCATCCATCTATCTATCTATCTATCTATCTATCTATCTATCTATCTATCTATCTATCTATCTATCTATCTATCTATCTATCTATCTATCTATCTATCTATCTATCTATCTATCTATCTATCTATCTATCTATCTATCTATCTATCTATCTATCTATCTATCTATCTATCTATCTATCTATCTATCTATCTATCTATCTATCTATCTATCTATCTATCTATCTATCTATCTATCTATCTATCTATCTATCTATCTATCTATCTATCTATCTATCTATCTATCTATCTATCTATCTATCTATCTATCTATCTATCTATCTATCTATCTATCTATCTATCTATCTATCTATCTATCTATCTATCTATCTATCTATCTATCTATCTATCTATCTAGTCATGGTTTTGGGGATGAGTCTAACCCAAGACATGCAGAATCCCAACTTCATACACAGAATGAAGGTAAGTAAAACAGAATTTATTATTTAAGGGGAACTTAGGGCGAGCTGAGAATTCCAGCGGATCAGGGGGAGAAAACGGGAACCAGGGTCTGAGGGAGAGCAGACCAGAGGTGAGTCCAGGAGATAAACAGTCTAGGCAGGAATACTGAAAGGGGACTTACAGGAGATGATTTGGTTTGGGGAATGAGGGGAGGTTGAGAGCCGGGAATGATCCAGAAGGGAGATCTCGCGAGCTGGAGAGGGAGCACAGGGTTTGAGAGTGGGAGCGGTTCGGTCGGGAGGAGGATAATGAACGTGGCTGAATGCAGAGTTCAGGAGTCCTATGGAGTTCGAGTGAGTAAGTCCAGATGAGTGGAGAGCCTGAGGTGGGTGAGTCCAAAAATACAAAGATTACACAAGGTCCAAAAACGTACAAGAGCCAAAAATACACTGAGATTAATCACGAGAAACCAAGAGAGCTAGAGCGAGGGCTGGGCACTACCAAGTCGTAGTAATCATCCAGCGTCAAGCTGTGTTCACCATCTCCTTTAGTAGTAGACCCGCTGAATCAGCTGATGTGATGCAGCTGCCGCTCCCTCTCCTGTGAACATACTCAGAGATAGTTTGTGAGAGCGAGTACTCACCCCAACTCACGACAAAGTTTTCATCTCACCCTCCACAAATGGTCTCCTCCTTCCAAGCTCGGGTTCTCTACTAGAGGCCTGGGAGCTTGAGGGCTCTGCAGCATCTTAGCTGTTCCTAGAACTGCACTTTTCTGGACTGAGATGTCTTATATTTTTCCTGGGACCTGGTTTAGCTACTCTAACTCTAACATGATGACCACGGGCACCTCTGATGTCTTCACTCTCCAGGCTTTCTCAAGTTCTTCTTTGAGGTCCTGATACTTCTCTATTCTCATGTTCCTTTATCCTGATGTTACCATCACTTGGTATTACCACATCAACCACAACAACTGTCCTCTGTTGTTTGTCCAATGTCTGGTAGGTTCACCATCACCATTTTATTGGTCTAGATCTAGAAGACCCACAGGAGCTTGGCTCTCTTGTTATTAGGGGGTGTTTCCCACTTTGACCTTGGGGCTTCCAGTCCATACTCTGCACAGATGTTCCTGTATACTATACCAGCCTCTTGGTCGTGGCATTCCATGAATGCTGTCCCTGCCAGCATCTTACACCTTGCAGTTATGTGATGGACTGTCTCAGGGGCCTCTTTGTATAGTGTACACCTTGGGTCTTGTCTGGTGTGGTAGATCTTGGCCTCTGTTGCTCTGGTGTTCAGGGCCTGTTCCTGTGCAGTCATGGTGAGTGCCTCTTTGCTGCCCATCAGCTCTTTCTAGCTATTGGTAGGATTTCTTGATATCAGCCAATTCAGTTATCTGTCGGTGGTACATCCCATGTAGGGGTTTGTCCAGCGTCTGTCATGGTCTGTGTCTGTGTCTCTTTGTGTTCCTCATGTGTCCCCTGGTCTTCAGCCCTCCAGATATTCCCTCTCAGGTCCTGTGTTCCTTCAATCTCCCCCAGTCACCCCTCTGCAGTTTTTTATAGGTTCAGCTTCTCATTTTATTAGTCTCTTTAGTCTGTTTTTTCCACAGGTTTTTGTAGTTTCCCTCCCCCTAGAATATTAGTTTATTTTGCTGCTCATCTTGTCTTTAGGTTTTTTACTCTTACTCTTAGGTCATGTTAGTTTCCTCCCTGATTAGTTAATTGGTTTCACCTGCTTCTCTCTCCACACACCTGCAGCCCATCTGCCTCCCATCATGCCCCAGTGTATTCAAGCCCTGTCTTGTCTCAGTGCCTTGTCGGTTTTTTTTATTTATTATTTTTTATACGCTCTTACTCCGACTCACACTCCAGCACAGTAGGTGGCGGAAATGCACCTAGAAGTTAGATGCCACCCGCCAATAAACAAGAAGAAGAAGTGTCTTGTCGGTCCATTGTTTGTGTGTCAGCATTGTTTTGTGCTCCATGTGAGCTTTCGTATCTTGTCTCCATGTTTGGTGCTCTAAGTGAGCTTTTGTCACCTCGCCTCTAGGTTTTGTGCTCTGTGTGAGCTTTCGTTCTCCTGGTACTCAGGATTTTGTTTTTGGCTTCCTGCGTTTTTTGGATTTTGGTTCATCTCCTTAAATAAAAGGATTTTACTTTTAAACGCTCCTGCTTCGTGTCATCTGGGGTATCTGCATCTTGGGTCCTAACAACCTCCCTGTTCTCAATGTGACAGCGTCTCCTCTGTTCACCATTGTCTAAGACATTCACTGTGCATGTCATCTGTTGGGGCCTTGTCCTTGATGTACTTATGGATCTTGGATGTTTCATCCTGGCCAGTGGCTCTTACACTCACTAGACCTCGGCCTCCTTCCTTACGGCTAGTGTACAATCTCTGGGTGCTGGATTTGGGATGGAACCCTCTATGCATAGTTAGGAGCTTCCATGTCTTAACATCTGTGATCTGTATTTCTTCCTTCAGCCAGATTATTATTCCTGCAGGATATCTGATTACTGGCAGGATGTAGCTGTTTATTGTGCAGATCTTGTTCTTGCCATTGAGGTGACTTCTTAGGACTTGCCTTACTCGTTGTAGGTATTTGGCTGTGGCTCCTTTCCTTGAAGCTTCATCAAGGTTGCCATTTGCTTGTGGGATACTGATGTACCTGTAGCTGGGGGGTTGTAGGACTCTAAGAAGGTTCAATGCAAATGCATTTACAATTTTATCATTTAAAATGTTTAAAGCTGACAGCAGCAGCCACCCTAACCTGGGTTCACCCAAAACAGGGAATCAGTGATACAAGTGCATGGTATGATTCATTACTTTCAGCACTATTGTTATTTTCTGAGAGTTTCTGAGAGAAGTTTTTTATACTCTTTAATTATATATATTTTTTTCTTCATAGCTAGGAAAATAAACCTTACAGAAGACATTAAACAACAAAAAATAAAATGTTTTATATACATTTCAAAGGCAAATTAACCGTGGCATTTGCATGCATTCAATTTTTTTCCATTTGAATTCAAACAATGTCATGGTTAGTCTTAATTCACTCATAATTCTTTTCATAGAGTGTTTTTCCAAAATCTCCACTCATTGACACTCGGATATCATTTGACTCTGAAGCTAATTCAGTTATAATTTTCTTGCTGGCTACCAGCATATCTTTGTACAGGTGTTGTCCTCCCATCAGATGTCTGACTGTGACACCAAACCCAGATATAAAGTTTGTGGCTTCTTAATTTCATATCCAGAAGTCTTTCACCATTAGACACCGATTGTTAACCAAAGACTTCAAA